AATTCAAAAAAACGATCATATATCACAAAAAAAGGTCATAAAAACGACTTTTCTTTAGTATTCTATATCTCAAGAAGGAACCATCCGTTTTGCCTGAAGCTTTCAGGATGTCCTAAAGATCATAAGACCTACTTATGAGCAAAACTTCAGATGACAATTCCTTCCTTTTGGCTTTTTTATGAATAGCTTGCCTTAAGCCGGAAAGTTCGTAAAATGGTCATAACTCCCGAAGGAAGGCCTATGGGGACGAATCCTTTTAGGCTTTTCCTAGTCGCATTGAGTCCTGCTTATGGGCAAAATATCACTTCAATCGGCGATTAACAGTTGGGAATGTTCCCTCGTAAGACATAGCACTTTCACTGTATTTACATTAGTAACTTTAGTTAAGAATCCCAGTGGAATTTTATGTAGACTCGTGAAGTTTTAAATTATTTTGTCATCCATTTACCTGATGAATATAAACAAATGCGCAACTTTTGTCCACCACTCATTAGACTTTAGAATCAGCCTAGGAGAATTCGATGTTATGCTGTATTTTGAACTAATGAATGAAATCACTAAACTGAGACTATCATAGTACATGACAGTGAAGCAGAAGTAATATCTTGCGCACTCTTTATAACTAGAGATGAACCACTACGAATGATGCGATTTTTAGCACACTTATTAAATACGAATAAAATCAATTCAAAAATTCTATTACTGTCAGTGGAAACTGAATTTCTACATCATATTTTCTTTTCCACTTATGATTACATATAAAAAAAAAACGCGAAAGAAAGAAATGTACAATGCAATTTGCATTAAACTGAAAAATTGCACATATCATTAAATCAATTTTCTAACTTACAAATAAATACATGGAATATTGTCAATATCTTTTTCAACTAAATATTTATGCATATCATTTCTAATACGAATCCATAAAGTAGATGGTATTCGAAATAATTTAAAAGGTGGTAAATAATGAACAAAAATTGATTGTAAAACTTCATCATCTAATGAAAGAATATCTTCTATTTCAAATTCGCTTAATCCACCTGATAATTGAAGATATCGCATTGAACGTCGAAATAAAACTTGACCATGTTTTACTCCTAATTTATTATATAAATATCCAATAGCATCACTTGTATATCTTATAGCTAAAAATGCTTGATCAGGTATTTGATCAAATGAATGCCATGATAATGTTTGATCATATAGAAGTGACAGAAAAAGTGGTGTTAAAAAATGTTGTGAAATAAATTTCTTTTTTAGCCATTCATATTGTATAGATGTTAAACAACGTTGATCTTGTTCAAGCCAATAATATAAGACTTGTTCAGCAAGATTTTGATCTAAAGAATTGATTTCTATTTCTATTATTTCATTATTATAAATATTTCTTAATTGTTGACGAATATCAATTGTTATTCTTTCGATTTCTATTTCTGAAATAGTTGAAATTATGCATTTAAAATTAGTCGATGGAAATTGTATTGGTAACCATATTGATAAATTTTTTAGATCAATAATTTGTAGTTGATCAATAGCATCAAGAAGAAGAATAAGATGTTCATTTTTTGGAATCTGCATTAAAATATTTTCAAAACTTTCTTTAACATTATCTAAATTTGATGGTAGATCCAAATGATAAATTGTACAAATCTGTTCAATAATTGATATTAATGGACGACGAATATCACTTGAAGATGGTGTTACACCCAAAAAACGTATAATAACAGATAAAGAATTTGGTTGTGAATACCAAGTTGTAATCTATAAATTTATTTATATATTTTATGTAGGAGAGAAATATTTAACTGATCGTTTTGTAATAAATTTTCGTTTATTGCACTGTTTCATGGGATTAGTTATTTAAAATTTAATGCTATTTAAACATTGTCATAACTATTTAAAAGATTTTAAAAGCTTATTTGTTTATATGATGATTTATTTTCTTTTTTTTTGTTGAGCCATATTTTCAATAATATACATTTTAAATATTTTGTTATAACTGGCATTCTCTTTTTACTGATATTGTGAATATCTCTTAGATTTTTATGTTGTGTTACGATCTAGTTTCTATCTGATAAATTTTACTATTTTATACTTGAATGTCTATCATTGATTTATTGTCTTTTGTATAATGATCATCATTATTGTATATTTTCTATAAGAACAGTGCTAATCACTTTCAAAATTAATCATTGTTATATTAAAAGTAAAATAACAGCAAATAAGTTGTGTGTAACATTTATTTTTCTCTTATTTCAATATTCCCATTTCATATTATTCAATTCTCACTAAGATATCATTTTAGAAACATCACTAAAATTATTCTCTTCTGATACAATATAGCAAAATTCAATATTTAATTCCAGTAATTCTCAATTCAAATAAAGAAAAACGTTTTTTTGATATTCTTTTTTCTTATTCCCTTCCTTACTCAAAAAACAACTTAATCACAATAGCTCAATAGTCAAATGATATTTAAATAGGTATTCACTTAGAAAGATTGAAAGAAAAATACAAAGCTGATTGCTTATTAAATAGCTATAAATATTCAATTAATAGTGCTAGAACTCTTTAAATACTACTTGAAAACAAATAAATAGCTATGAATATTCATGAAAGAGTGCTGATGACCATTGGATAGTTCTAAGGATTAAATACGTATCCAGGTAGAAATATAAATAATCAATAAGTAAATGAATCTTTATAAAAATGAAATATATCATTAGAAAACTTTCTTTCTAATCTCTATTCACTATCTTTACTACTATTGAGCACATAGATAATAAATAATTTGACAGTTTATGAATACATTACTATCGATTATTGAAGTCTATAATTTAGAAAATCTTATAAAGTTTTTCAAAACTTAAAGAATAAAACTCTTGCAGGTTGTTATCAAAAATGATTTCTACTAGTTCAATAGTTTTGTCTTATTAAATTTCAAGAATATTCGTCTAAATACTTAGATACATCTGCAAATACCACGTTGACTATTGTCAAAACGATTCATAAGAATAGATTGGATTAATGAATCTATGACACACTGTAGTAACTATATCTATCGAGGTATTTGGACAGCTGTTGTCGAGAGTTGAACATCATATTTACTCAGGTATAGGAATATCTCATCAAATCGTTAGTTATAAGCATTCTTTCTTAATTCGAATAGATTAGTTTTTTTTTCTTACTTCTCTGACAATTTTAGCCATAATTGATGATTTTCCAGTTCCTGATTCCCCAAGTAAAATGCAAGGACCAATGCTTTTTGACATTACATAATTTTTAATCTTGAAAAAAGAAATTTATGATGAATGAATTTAGGTTTTTTTTTCATTAGTCGAAAAATTTTACTTGTTCAAGAATATCTTGTCGAGGAAAATATCGTTGTATTAATAAATTACATTGAATAGCATGTTCTAATATTTGATTATATAAAAAATTCTTTTGTTGATTTTCATATGTTTTCATATGAAAATCAATTTGTGATGTAATTGCATGATAAAAATCTTCGAAAAATTGAGAAAAATATTTTGTTCGATTATTTTCATCATTCCATTGAATCTACTTGAATATATTACAAATATATGTATATAAATTTTTTGATTTAAAAAAAGAATATGATAAAAATTACTTGATATGTATAAATATCTGATGAATCAAGTGATTGATGAAGTAAATTTTTAAGTTTTTCTAATGATTTTTTTGTTTCATCTACATTTTCTATTTCACGATATTTTGAATCAAGTTCTTCAATATCAATTATTTCACGAAAAAAACAAATTATTCGTCGAGATCTATTTATATTATTTTTTAATGCACGATAAATTTCTTTTCCTGTAACTGAAATGAATATATATGTAGATATTTATATATATGTTAAATTTTGTTTTGTAAATACCTGATATATAAAATTCATTTCGTTCATCTTTAGTTATTTTTCCTTGTTTATAACAGATATTAGCTGCTTTTTGTAAAATTAATTGTAATTTATTTTCTAATAATGTCCATTGTTGATTATCATCTATTGGTCGAAGAAAATATTTATGTTCAAGATAATTTTCATCTAATTGATACATTTCTATTAGAAAATTTTTTTCTTCAATATTTGTTGATAGACAATCTTCGAGTAATTGAAATATACGAAATGATATACATGCTGGAACAAGACGACTTCCATATCGATGACTTAAGAGAACCTTTTTCAATAGAATATGTTTAAAGATTTATAAAAATTTTCATGATTCTTACTATACAATTAGTTGCCATTGATAATCGACAACAACTATCAAGTTCTTGAAGACACATATCAACAGTTGAATGAGAATTTGATGCTGTTGATGGAATACCCCAACGCATATCTGAATACTACAGAAAAAAAGCTATTAGTGTAATCTCTATATATGCGATTAAAATATGAAACAGGATGTAGTTGTCGGTATTGTAAAAGAGGAGATTAATGAATATATGTTTCAATTTATGAAATGAAACAGATTAATCGGAATATATATGGCAGTGCATGTGAACCAAAATTAAAGAACAGTTATCATGATAATTCCGCGGCGAAGTTTGATATCAAGTTTATGTCCGTCACGATCTATGATGGTGGAGAGGTGTTGCTAAGGTCTTTGTCATGTCTATGGAAGAGGTAGCGTGGTATAAATTTCTACTTCTACACTTCAATCTTTCTTTGAGATTGTATGAATGTAGTTTACCAGAATGTGTCAAAAGTTTTACAATATTCTTTATTCAATTCTCTCTCAAAATTTCTATTCATTTTAATTTAAAACAATGAATTACAGACTACACATTGAGTGATTCAATTAATAGAACTTATTTTTGTATTTAAAGGAATATTTTGGTTTTTCAAAACAAAACATCATCCAAAGTTAAACAATACTCGAAAGATGTAATCAATAGTGTATCACACGGATTTTTTTAAAAACCAAATAGCCACTTATATATTCAGAACAATAATATTTTCTTCGTTGAGTTAATTATCTTAAAAATAAGTATTCTATTAATTCCATCTATGACAAAATCAAATTCATTTCTGAAAAAAGTTTTATCGGAATTTAATTTACCGTCTCATTTAAATTCCAAATAAATCTTCCAAAAAAGAACCAATTCAAATAAATTCAAATACAGTAAAAAAAAAAAAGAAACAAGCGGCTATTTAATTCATTTATAAGTACTTGTAAAGAATTTTGTGGGTGTATTTGATGTGAAATTCAATGATTAGTACCGAATCTCTTCAATCTCTACTAAGAACTTGAAACAAAGAAACGATTCGGGACAAAACTTTTTCTATACTGAATAATATGTATTTTAATTTGAAGGAAAACTAAGAAAGCGATTTTTTATAAGTTAGAAGTTTTTTTTTTCATTCAAAATAAGATGTCTTTCATCAAATTACTTGAAATTGAATATTGTATTTAGTACGACAATACTTGTATAATCGAGGATATACACATTCAATAAGTCCATTACGTTCATCAGTTGTATCTAACAACAATAAAAAATAGTAGTCATTATACATGGTATTGAAATCTGGTTTCATAGCAACTTACCAGAGAATGTTGAACTAATAAATACACGTACTGAATTTAATTTACGATCTTCTACACAATCAAATTGACCTCGATAGAATTGTTCGTTTTCCATTTGTTTGATTATTACGATTGATTATAGAAAATGAAAACGAACAAATGCAAGATTGTTTTTAGTATTCATTATCAGGAGTTAAGTTTAATATGTAAGCTATGACAATAATCGTCACTTTTTTTTTTCTTTTTTCTTTTCTTTTTTCTTTCAAAATGTCGTACGGTGCTGTTTCATATTTCCTTTTTTTCTTCTTTTTCTTTCTTTGTTGGTGTCATTTTTCTTAATGTGTGCAGATGTGTCATGGTAGGTAAGAAAAATTGTTGTTTAGGAGACAAACAAATCGATATGAAATACTAAATATAAATTTAATAATTGACTTCGCGATACAACAACTCTACGATAAAGAACATTGAGTAAATATAAATAAATAGAAGATTATTTTTTCAAAAAATTCTGTTCTACAATTGAATAATTTAGGATTTTGTGTTAAATACATTCTTGGTATAAACAATATATTGTATTGATAATTTCTCGATTCACAGATTATAAACGAGAAATTGAATATGTAGAATAAAATTTTTTATGCAGTTCCATTAACCATTCAATTCCTAAAATGCTTACTAGCGTTAACATTGGCAAAAAAGACCATTAAAAAAATCGAATCATGCGATTCATAACTAACTCTTTGTTAGTTGTAGAAAATTATATGAATGATTGGCTACTAAAAGAACACTATTGTTTCATGTCAAAGCTTTGTCACTGAAAGGTATAGCAAACAAAATCGAGAAGTTTGCTTTGAAGATGCACCGTGTGATATGTATCATTTAGAACGTTTACAAGTGGCTCAAATACATTTCACAATATCTTGGTAGATAAGAGACGCTAAACCATTGAATAGAGTCTCTAGTGACCATCATATAATAAAAAACAATAACGACATATAATGTAGTTCTATCTAAAGCATTTGTGTTGTTAAAAATAGAGACTACGAGAAAAATTCTTCTGACCGAAACAAACGTCTTAGTTAAATAGTATATGGTTTAAAGGAAATCATTTCATAAAACATATGAATCAGAACACAGTTAAAGAGAAATAAACCAAAAATTTCTAATCATCAAGTAAATAAATCAAAAACAACTATTGAAAAATCTTTTTTTCAACGCGATATGAATAATAAATAGAATTGGTATATCGATGGATAATGCCACCTGTGATGCTATGTACCAATGATGAGACAGACAATGCATATCGTTCCTTGTTTCTCTAGATGGAAGAGTGTTTCTTCTTTTTCTGAAACATGTCGAAGCGTTCATTTAATTTAAATATTTGAATTTACTTTTTTGTATTATCTCTGCTAGATATCCAAAACTTTTTACAATATTTCGTGTAAACGAAATTGATAGTGATAAAGAATAATATATGAATTGTTTCAGGCAAAACGACACATCTCCATCTTTCATTTCACTTAATTTTTTACAAGAGTTATTTCTCGGAGTTCTTTTACCATACACATATGCAAAAAAATCTTGACTCTTTGAATGGATTATTAGTTTTAAAAAAATTAACGAATCTCTCTTTAACCATACGAAAAAATCTCCTAACGTATATAACATATACAAATTAGTTGTAAGAAACTTCATTATCTCTAGATGCATAATTTTTAATTTTACGAAATTACGTCTCTAGCGAATGATTTGGTTCATAAAATTTTAATTAAAGTAGACATTTTACATTATCTGTAACTGTTGATTCATCTGTGATTAGGAAAAATATTCTTGTTGAAATAATATGTTTTAAGAAGTAGTATTAATCAAACAGTTTAATTCTGTTCCGAATGAATAAATAGAGTTCAAACAAAAAAATGGATAATTAGTATTAAGTGAATAATGTCATGCAGAATAAGAAAAAATTCTATTTTTCTAAATGAATGATTGAAATGATATAAAAAACTTGAATTCAGACGTATAATCTAATCAATAAGTACTATGTTTTCATTATTACTTGAATATAATTCTTTTTCTAGTGATACTAATATATTTCTTTGGTATTTATTAAATAAAGCTGATGACATGTTTTTTGTTTGGTATTACCAATTTGAAATTAATCAATCGATTTTGTTGATCACTACTATCCAATATAGAAACTGAATGATTTTCTGATTAAATAATTTCATATAATCATGCCTGTCTACGGAAATAAAAAGCTGATTATCTATAAAAAAAAAATCGAAAAAAGAAACCAATCATCGATTTTCTGTCATTTGCATATAACTATATGTTGTGTTTTATTAGAGAAAAGTAATGATTGATTTTTTTTTGGGCATTTTAATTTTTAAAAAGTTTTCTATGTACACTACTTGAAATTTCATGCAAGGAAATCTGAACATATTACTTTTAATATAAAATAATTATTTTATGTTATTTATAATTTGAGAAATGTCGAACAATGCTTCGTTTCACAATACAATACATACATATATATTCAAACATTCATATTACACATACTTAGCAAAACCTAATATACATATCATTCCATATCATATATTTTAAATGAATCTAGGCCACTTGTCCGCAGAACATATGCTCGCCGGACAGATCCCCGCAAGACACTTGCCCGTATGATGCTTGCCCGCATCCTCACCCTCAACATTGTCCATTGCGGGCACGTATCACACGGGCAAGTGTCTTGCGGGTATCTGTCCGGTGGGCAACTGTTCTGCAGGCAAGTGGCCGTAACCCATTTTAAATGTTTATTCATCGAACGAATGACCTTTCAGTGTTTCTAATAGGCCAATGAAAACTCTTGGATTTAAAAGGGATGTCCTTTAACTATTCAATCTTTTTTGAGTCAAGACTATGTGAATTATGTAGATATAAATGAGTTATGAATATTTTGAAAACCGTTTCTGCTCTTAGATTCCTTTTGAGAAGATATTTCTCTTTTGCAGTATTTTTTAAATGGATGCAGGAACACCATAAAAACTGATTTTCGAATTTTAACTTGAAACTTTGCATACAAACAAGTCTTAATTAGAGTAGTTTTTGTTGTGAATATTTAAAGTCTTTTAATTTGCCTCTATCCTGAAATAAGAAGTTTGGATCTACTGGTTTATATGAGCGATGTAAAAAAAACACAATATTACTACAGATGCGCATTAGGATAGAGAAAGCTACAAGATCCGAAACATTCACAATAAACTATTCTCATTATGGCCTATTTCTATTCAAGTTTTCAAGTCATAATTGAAAAATCAGTTATTCTGTTGTTCTTGAAGGGGACTACGGCAATTATTTAAAAAACACCTTTTAAGCGCAATATCTCGGCAGCAATAAACTATGGGAGAAATTCATTTTAGAGTATTCAAAGAATATTTAATTCTATATAATGCACAGAGTATCGACGCAAAAATTATTTACCATTGGATAGATTTCTTTTGTTAGAAGAATCTTTAAAAAACAAATATGCATTGATATCATTGCATAAAAATATTCTGTTTTTTTTGAAGAAAGAAAAAGCAAAAATTTGTTTTTAAAAATCATATCTATGCCATTTAATGCGAACTTCGACATTCTGCGAAAAAATCGGTCACTGTTAGTCATCATGACAATAATAATAATAACAATTTTTTGTTCTAAAATGCAATATCATGATTAGAATATTTCATAAAAAAACATATGCAGACAAACATAAGGCATTGATCTGATCTTTTTCTCACACTCACAGATTTCTCTTACAACATTGATTATAAAATTTAAAAAAACAGAAATTTTGCGAATAAGTAGCCTGCTGTCATGCCAATAGCTTCAGTAGTATCGATGAAGAAAACTACAATGCTTGTTACCACATTCCTCTGTATTTTCGTTGGTAAGTTTATTATTTCACTTAGAAATATGTTTTTATTAATTCGATTGCTACATAACAAAAAATAGGCCTTGCAAGTTCTCAATCATGAAATAAAAATCATTGTGGCAAACGCCCATTGATACGTGTTGGTAATGAGAATAAAATTGCTGGTGTTGTACCATCGTTACGTGGTGATTGGGCATGGTCGGTAAGTGTTCATTGTCTTTTTACTTTTCTTATCTATTAATAATTTATTAATATTCATAGTGTTCTATGCGTAAACCAACGAGTCACATTTGTGGTGGCTCACTTATTAATGGTCAATGGATTGTAACTGCAGCACATTGTGTGTACGTACAAAACTTGATGAATAAATTCTAATCAGTAATTATTTTTAATTGAAAATAATACAGAAGCAGTGGCACTCTTGCAAGTTCATACAAATGGATTTGCGGTATCTATGAAAGAAACAAACAAGTAAGAAATCGGCAAAGAACTATGTAGGTAATAAAAATGAATTCGTAGGATCCATGGACTAGAGAATACGTATCAATCCGGTATATTGTACATCCAAACTATAACTCAAGATTGATTCAAAATGACATCGCTCTTTTTCAAATTAGTGTTAGTAATTTGCTTTTTTTTTGTCATTAATAGTATATTGAAAGAAAAAGAAAATTTTTTAGAATACGGATATTGATTTTGATAATTACGTAATGCCAGCTTGTTTTCCTGCTAAAACTGATACTTATGAAGGTGCAACTTCAGTGACTACAGGATGGGGTACATTTTTTCCGGATGAAAGTCCTGATACCTCTCGCAAAGAAATGGGAATACGAGTTTTGACTGAGGCTGACTGCGTTAAGAAATTCGGTGCAAATATGTTAAATACAACAACTCAAATCTGTGCTGGTGCAACCGGCATCGTTCTAAATATGTATCAAGGTAATTCAGGTGATCCATTACTTGTTGAACATTCTAATGGTCTTTGGTATTTGGCTGGTTTGGCATCATGGGTAAGTTATTGTTTCATTTATGATGAAATAAAATTCATTGGTTAAATGTAGGGTTATGGATATGCTGATGGTCATGTTTATACTAGTCTTTCAGCGTATCGTGATTGGGTTCAAGGTCACGTTTCAACTTTTCCAAGTGGTAGTGACTAATAAGATGTTTGTCGTGACATCTATTTAATTGAAATTGAAACATATAATAAATGACTGACTAAGCTTCATATTTCATCAAAATGATCATTCACAATGAATACATTTCACAAAAATAATTGTTCTTTCATAGGTCATTATTGATTTCGAAGTCGGTTCAAAACGTTCTTTGTCGAAAAAACAAATACAAGCAAATATAATAATCATTATATTCATAAAGAGAAGAAACAATGAGTCTTAAGATAGTTTCCAATCAGGGATCAGCAAAGGACAGCTTTTCTGTCCTATCCTACAGTGAACTTTTGTCCTGTTGAAAGATAGAACAGAATGAAAGAATGTACTGAGAAATGTCGAAAAGAAAAATGTCGAAAGGAAAAATGTCGAAAGCAAAATGTCGAAAGTAAAAATGTCGAAAAGTAAAAATGTCGAAAGGAAAAATGTCGAAAAGTTAAAA